GAATGGAACTAACAAACAGAATGAAGCACATACTCGCAAGCACATATGTTTGTTTACACATGTTCCCAAAGCTGCTACAAATGTTCAGTATAATGACATCAAAATCATTAGTTTTTGTAACTTTCCAGGTGAAGTTGGTGACTGGAAGAACTGGTTCACTGAGGCCCAGAACGAGTGGTTTGATCAGCTGTACCAAGAGAAGATGGCGGACTCTGACATCAAAGTTAGATTTACGTTACCGTAGCTCTCACAGAGATGTATACTCTATGGTCATTGTGTACCAATACTCATATACACGTAGATCAAATCACAGAGGAGTGAGTGAGTGAGTTTAGTTTTACGCCGCTTTTAGCAATATTCCAGTAATATCACGGCAGGGGACACCAGAAATGGGCTTCACACATTGTATCAATGTGGGGAATCGAACCCGGGTCTTTGGCGTGACGAGCGAACGCTTTAACCTCTAGGCTACCCTTAATCAAAGAAGATGTATGTGGAAACGCGTATGTTGTACAGTGTAACGTGATCTGAAATTTCCAACAGGAGAGCCCTAGTTAAAGAAAACCACAGCTTACTGTACCAAACCAATCGACACGTACACTTACTGCAGACCACAATTTTACCCCGCTTTTAGCAATATTCCAGCAATATCACGGCAGGGGACAGCAGAAATGGGCTCCACACATTGTACCCATTCTAAGAATCGAACCCATATCGTAGGCGTGCAGCGTTAACGCTGTAACTATTGGGCTAGCACTGGTTAACTGTGATTATTCTTCAGATCTCAGGTGTAGTCTTTTGAAAGAAATAACCAGTGTCCATCCTTTGTTCCCGTCTATATGTATGTCATCAGTAGACAAAATGGTATTCTTACTTACTAATAATCAGGTCATAAAGCCCCTTGCCGCACTCCTCCATACTGTGTTTAGGTGCCGAAATATGTCTGTGGAATAGCATGTTTGCTGTTTACATATTTATGCTTTTTAGTGTAAGAACGCGAATGTGTGTGTATTTATGTGTGTCTGTGTGTATTTATGTGTGTCTGTGTATATTTATGTGTGTGTGTGTGTGTGTATTTGTGGGGGTCGGGGTCGGGGGGCTTGCGTGTGTGTATGTTTGGGTGGGTATGACTTTATTATCAATGTGTTTACGTAACTGTTATATTTGTGTCTCATAGACCATATGGCCAGATGCTGTTTTTAAATCTCTGGAACGACGAAATGTCTTTTATTGTAATTCAGCATGTGACACAACAATAAACTATATTTCTTCTTCCTAAACTTCATAATGTTTAACGACGGATACTCGTATTGCAAATGATGATCGCCTTTGATCGTTGCATGTGTATATCTAGAAAACAGTGCTTGGTGGCCTGAAGGGGGAAAATAATCATTCCATCCGTGCATTGTTAGAACTGATCTTCAGTAACTCTTGCTTGTTGTAAGAGGCGATTAACGGGATCGGGTGGTCAGACTCGCTGGCTTGGTTGACACATGCCATCGCTTCCCAATTGTGCAGATCGATGCTCATGTTGTTGATCCCTGGATTGTCTGGTCCAGACTCGATTATTACAGACCGCCGCCATATAGCTGGAATATTGCTCTGTGCGGCGTAAAACTAAACTCACTCACTCACTGTAGAAATACACGTTTGTTCGTAATCACCGGATTTCCGATGTGGTTCTCACATCCATGATAATTGACAAAAGGGAGGTAACTCCTGCGATTCCCACTGCCCACTGCTAAACAATGGGTCATACTCGATAAACTTACTGAAAAACAAAACAAATATGTAACAATAAGACCAGAGAATAACCTGTCTCGGAACAGATTCCATTGAGCGCAAACCTGCAAATTAGCAGTGAAAACTGAATGGATAACTGAAAATCAGTAACGAATGGTTGCACCATGTCTTGTGTTCATTGCCTGACTCCTAAAGGTTAGTGAAACAAAATGTTTTCCACAGACTTCTATAGTGACAATGTATTGTATGTAAAACAGCTTGGCATATACAGCTTTTATATATACGCATGTGCATTCTGGACCTTAAGCAGCAAGAAATGAAAACCAGACGTATTCTCTTTCCACGAGGTACTCGAGCCAGCTTCTCACCGAATATCACCGACTTGAAAACATGTGATCACATTCAACATAAGTAATAACGTCAAAACAGATAGCACAAATGTCAGTTTTAATTACCGGATGGTTGAACATTTAAAAGACATAATACTAACACAACACCATTTAATCGAAGCAGGTGAGGTGAGGTGAATTGGGTTTTACGTCGTGCTTGAGAATATTTCGCTCATATGACGACGTGCATGCGTGTGTATGTGTATGTGCGGCTGCTTGTACTAGCCCAGACTGAAGCCGGTTTTATGGTGCTAGCCCACTGAGATACCATACCGCAGTGAAGCATGAATACCCCACTCAGACACATTATACTGACTCCGAGCCGACCAGTCCTTGTTGTACCCATTAATGCCGAGCGCCAGGCAGGGACCAACAAGTACCATATTTGAACGTCTTTTGGTATGACGTCGGGGGGGATCGACCTTCCGCTTTCCGGGCCTTCCGCTACACCACGGGCGGACGCTCTAACCACTACACCACTGGGCTACTCCCAGCGACCCTCACAAGAAATCCCGGCCTGTTTAAGCACTTTCTCACCAACTCAAGCACTGTTATTAAGCACCTTCTCTAATGTGGTATATTATGAGCAAGATAACTTTAATAGATATGTGCCATGATGAATGGTAATAAATATATTAACAACTGCAAATTCCTCTTTCTCTTTTCTTACTATTAAAAACAAATCCATTCAAACGATTCCCCGATCTGCGCACATTACAACTTCATCGTTACGTGTACCATCCTTTTGATGAAAACAAAGAAATGGATGTAAAGAGTAGCGGCCATTAACGACACATGGCTTTGGTTATGTATGGATGTTTCAACCTGTAGGAGATATATCCTCTTTTATCAATGCCTTTAAAAATGTTGCTATTAATATGTTCTTCCAATCTTGGACTTGTACTCTGAAAAATAGCTCCAGATATTGTATTTATCGTGAGTATGAAAGCATTTTAGCTCCTGAGAAATATTTAGATTGCATTTTTGACAAACGACTTAGAAATATATTCGTTAATTTCAGATGTGGTCTATCAAGATTAAAATATAATGAAGGGAGGTGGTTAGGAATAGATAAATATCAACGTTTATGTCCATATTGGAATTTAGGTACTGAACACGAGTACCATTTTTTATTCATTTTCACATTATATAGCATAGATATGTCTCACTGTTTCCAACAACATTAAAACTTTCACATATATTATAGATATATAATAAATATTATGGTGAACAAACATTGTATATGTGATGCCTATCATCTCAGGTTTTACACATACTCTCTCTTAATTTATATGCATGCCATAAAATTTACTTAAGGTTTTTAAAACTAGTACATTTTCCGTATTTATATATACGGTATATGTATACAATGTTTGTTCACCATAATATATATATATATATAATATAGTGTAAACTAAGGTAATATTGCAATGTATATCTATTGTATACAAAACTGTATATATTTTGCATTGTAAATGGGCCTGAGGCCTTCGTACTGGAAATAAACACTTGACTTGACTTGACAACTCTGCAACCGCTTTGACAGATATGCACTTGCTATTCATGCAACCTTGTCCAAGTATATTTTTAGCCTGTTATATGTCATAGTTTTCTAACTGACATTGCGTGTGTGTCGAGTGTGATTGGCTAGGTGATGTCCCAGGTAACAGTGCTATCGCCATTGCTGTAAAACACTGTCACCGGAAGTACTCAACAACGTAAAGTTTCGCGTAGTCCCATGACCCATTTACCTGCCCTACTATTACGTGACCAACTGTGTTACCAAGTATTTACTATACCTTGGGATATTATGAGCTTGATTATAGGAATCAGTCACTAAAACACAACGAGATGTGTCTGAATTATAAATATACAAGAAAGAAAAGAAGTCAATTCACATGGACTTTATTTAAAAAAGGTCACACAATGTAGTAGTTTGTGTTTAACATGAACATGAAGCAAGTCTTTCAAGCTGGTAAATACCCCAACGTTAACTGACACAAGTGACAACAAACAATTATTTCCAAATAGTAAAAATTGCTGAAGGTCTATTGTACCATTCTGACCATATCATAAGCATGTTGTGTATATAAAGCACCATCAAATTGTTGTAATTTATACTAGGTGCCTACCCTGACCAAACTGTGGTACTCTGTTGTACCATTCTGACCATATCATAAGCATGTTGTGTATATAAAACACCATCAAATTGTTGTAATTTATACTAGGTGCCTACCCTGACCAAACTGTGGTGCTCTAATGTACCATTCTGACCATATCATAAGCATGTTGTGTATATAAAGCACCATCAAATTGTTGTAATTATACTAGGTGCCTACCCTGACCAAACTGTGGTACACTATTGTACCATTCTGACCATACCATAGGCATGTTGGGTATATAAAGCACCATCAAATTGTTGTAATTTATACTAGGTGCCTACCCTGACCAAACCGTGGTGCTCTAATGTACCATTCTGACCATATCATAAGCATGTTGTGTATATAAAGCACCATCAAATTGTTGTAATTTATACTAGGTGCCTACCCTGACCAAACTGTGGTACTCTAGTGTACCATTCTGACCATATCATAAGCATGTTGTGTATATAAAGCACCATCAAATTGTTGTAATAAAGCACCATCAAATTGTTGTAATTATACTAGGTGCCTACCCTGACCAAACTGTGGTACTCACAATACTCCAGCACACCCAATGTAGTAACATCTGCTTACCTCCAACAATGCTTCATTATAAGTAAAATAAAGATATTCCACAAGGGCATTTAAAGATTGTCCATTGACATTCATGAATATATGAACGTACAAACGCAAACATGTCTGAAAACAAAACAAAAGATGGCTCATTGCAAATTTCCTTCTCTATTTAGGCGTCTGTTAAAGAAAATCAACACTGGCAATGGAATACGATTCGTAAAAACTAAACTGAGTTCTCATAAACACACTATACAACGATAACGTAGGACGGTTCTGAAATGAATTGCATACACTTCTCAATATATGATAAATATTTAACTACTTGTTAAACATCAACAGGCAATATGACCATAAATAACATAAACAAAATGGCATAATTATAAGAAATCGCCATAGGGTGGGTCCAGTGTGTGACTCCGACTGTATCTAAGCATGTATGTATGAAGCACTGTCGAATAGTGATGATACAAGGTGCCCGCAAATATAGCTCTTCCCGTAGTTACATGGAACAGTTGTGGTCCTTTGATTTTCATTACACATTCCATGACATTCTTCCCACTCAACTGATACACCTCTGTGAACAGGAAACACAAGGCGTGCTTGAAGCCGTCTTGCAGAAACATTATCGACAACTGTTCATGGTGGAAATATCATTTGATCCTTTAAGGGAAGTACAACTTTGTTTGGTTTGCTGCGGTATAGGAGCTCATGTATATAAAAAAGCAATGTTTCAATGTGTCCAACAACATATAAAACTTGATCTGATTAATACAATGCTTGCAGCTACAAGATGTTAGCGACAGAATGTGCCACCCTCACCCTGATAGCCATGGCATCTGCAGGCAACATAATATGCCTAATCAAGAGTAAATCGAACCTTCACGGGGCAATCTTTCATTTGTTCAGCATAATATTGATCAAACCACTCGTTCTGGGCCACAGTGAACCAGTTCTTCCAGTCACCAGCTACACCTGGAAAGTCATTAAATGTGATTTTGTGTGTCATGTAAGTAACGATTCATTATCTTGATGTTTAGCTGTCATAGTTTTAGTTACTAGTTAGTATATGATAATATGGTGAGTGAGCATTGTTTGATAGTTATTCATAAAGTTAACATATATTAATATGGTGAGTGAGTATTGTTTTACGACGCCCTAAGTCGGAATCGTAAAATGGGCTTTGATCTAAATAAGGATTTCTTCTGATTATTGAAAAGGTTTTGTCGTTTTTAATTATTCCATTTGCTGTTGTGTGTTTAATTCATGTGATGTTAACTCCACGTCACCCCAGTCAGTATCAAATATACTTGCCTTTCCGATAAGCAACCTTGCCAGTTAGCTCGGCTGTAGCCTTGACTTTCTTCATGGAGTCAAAGTCGCAGTGGTCACACACTTGTCTGATGTAGTCGTCACTCCTTGATACGCCCAGAAAGTCACACAACTTCTTAGCCTCCCTGAAAGTGTCCTGTGAAGACAAAAACAATATTAAACATAAGACGACACGCCAGATAACAGATGCGACAAAAATGTTTCTGTAATCCTAAAAGAACACAGGCTTCAGCCGGAAACCAGAATGATGAAGAACCGACTTAGAGCAGTGACTCTGACTGCACAGACAGTGATTAAATGAAAATGTTGTATTCAGTTGTATTCTTGTTATAATGTCATCGGTACCAAAACTCAAACATTATATATTATCGTATATTGAGTAGGAGTTGCTACCTGTTTTGTCTGGTGACACAGGGTCATAATCTAAGGTTGTACTGGTTGCAAATAGGTTGTATTTCCTTCTTAAAAGTTAAGAATTGCGTCACACCAGACCACACCACGTGAATATAGGTCTTATGTCTTTGCCCTGAGTAACATTGCCTGTGACTATATTCTATGTCCTTGCCCTGAGTAACATTGTCTGTGACTATATTCTATGTCCTTGCCCTGAGTAACATTGCCTGTGACTATATTCTATGTCCTTGCCCTGAGTAACATTGCCTGTGACTATATTCTATGTCCTTGCCCTGAGTAGCATTGACTGTGACTATATTTTATGTCCTTGCCCTGAGTAACATTGTCTGTGACTATATTCTATGTCCTTGCCCTGAGTAACATTGTCTAGATCTGTGACTATATTATATGTCCTTGCCCTGAGTAACATTATCTGTGACTATATTCTATGTCCTTGCCGTGGGTAACATTGTCTGTGACTATATTCTATGTCCTTGCCCTGAGTAACATTGCCTATGACTATATTCTATATCCTTTTCCTGAGTAACATTGCCTGTGACTATATTCTATGTCCTTGCCCTGAGTAGCATTGCCTGTGACTATATTCTATGTCCTTGCCCTGAGTAACATTGTCTAGATCTGTGACTATATTCTAGGTCCTTTTCCTTAGGACATTGCCCTTGATTGTATCTGCTGTCCTTGTCTTGAGTAACATTGCCTGTGACTATATTCTAGGTCCTTGCCCTGAGTAACATTGCCTGTGACTATATTCTAGGTCCTTTTCCTGAGTAACATTGCCTGTGACTATATTCTATGTCCTTGATCTCCCGAGTATCATGGCCGACCTCTTTAAGGTCTTCATAGAAGAGTGTCAGGAAGGGAATGTCGGTAGTTTTCTTCACTTCCTCCCACCCCTTCAAATGGTCGAACCAGGAACCGTATTCAACTGAAACATTGAACCATATATAACATTTCTATACAAAAAACATATCAAATAAACCACTGATACATATTCCCAGTTTGTGTGTTTATTTATTTATATTTTTATTAAGGCCTCAAGGTGGTCTGAACCATACAACGGATCATCATGTTGCTTCTTGGACGTGACATAGAATCACACCTCATTGCAAAATATGTCCTCTTGTCCAATACGTTTTCAAAGAAATAATTATATTTCATATATAATGTTGTGAAAAAAATGTATTATTATTCATTTCTATCTATTAGTAAAAATCGCTTTTTTCGTCAAGTGTGGTGTTTTCCAAACACATCACCGCAAAGCACACGTGCCATATTTGGTCTCACCTTAGGCAAGTGAGTTTGCTCAAATTTGCCTCTGTTCACCAAGGAGAAAATGGGTACCCGGTGGTATAAGTCATGAGACTATTAACCTTCTAGCGCCTTGAAGCAGCTTGGGTTATACGGGGTAATATTAATGTCCATTATGTTATATGTTATATGCTTAGAGCTTTCCCCCGTTGAGTTTTGCCCTATATGTAGCCATATTATCTATTATACTCTACAGAAGCACCCTCCATTCACAAAATTTGTAACAATAAGTATTCATTGCCTGACACTACAGTGTAACTTACATCTCCCCTCTGTTGCAGGGCGAACATAGTTCTCCCACTTCCCATGGTAGTCGCTGATGCCCATCTTTTTCAAAAACACGAAATAAGAAACAATGGCATCCTTGGGATTGCGAATGACGTGCACAATTTTTGGTTTCTTGACCTTGACCTCGTCTGGCAGGTGACCTAACGGTGCGTGGGAGTTGAGGAGTCTGGGAGATGGGAGGTCTTTGTACTTCTCCTCATCCGACAGTTCCAGCATGGTCGATGTCTTGTCGATGTCCGTTTTGTCCAGCTTGCCTGCCAAGAGAAGTCGTGACAGCTCCCATATCCAGTGTGTACCTGCATTAAAATACACGTCAGTGTAAAACAACCAGATTTCATATGCTCAGAAATAAAGCCACTTGCTGTGAAAAGAGTGAGTGAGTTTAGTTTTACGCCGCACTATTCCAGCTATATGGCGGCGGTCTGTAAATAATCGAGTCTGTACCAGACAATCCAGTGATCAATAGCATGAGCATCGATCTACGCAATTGGGAACCGATGACATGTATCAACCAAGTCAGCGAGCCTGACCACCCGACCCCGTTAGTCGCCTCTTACGACAATCATGGGTTGATGAAGATCAATTCTAACCCGGACCTTCTCGGGTCTGCCGTGAAAAGATAAACAGCTGTGAAAATTATACGGATGGATCACTAAATATCGGGGATGACACCGGGTGTTCACGAAGAATGGAAATGATACAGTAAAAGAGTTTAACCCAGTTTAACAGCAGTTCAGTGTGTGAGTGAGTTTAGTTTTATGCCGCTTTTAGCAATATTCCAGCAACATCACGGCTGAGGACACCAGAAATGGGCTTCACACATTGTACCCATATGGGAATCGAAAACGGGTCTCGGGGTGACGGGCGAACACCTAGGCTACCCCACCGTCCAACAGTAAATAGTTCAGCTTTCAGTTGTGTTTAGTATGGTAGGAAACCATCTTAACGTCATACTACTGTGGACGTTTCACATTAACCAGTGTATAAAGTAGATGGTTGCACAGCCAACAAAATAGTAATCTTTTCGATTCTGGGTTTCAAACCGGCGATCAGTGGATCCTGGCATAACTGAAGGGAGTAGTTCTGCACATCGAATTGCAGCATTTTAGTCCATGGGTCAACCCGTGACCTCTGGGACAGAGGGTTATGGATACATAATGTCCATAAGATCATAAAAATAGGGTGAGGTGAGGTGAAATTGGGTTTTACGTCGTGCTTGAGAATATTTCGCTCATATGACGACGTGCATGCATGCGTGTGTATGTGTGGCTGCTTGTACTAGCCCAGACTTAAGCTGGTTTTATAGTGCTAGCCCACTGAGATACCATGCCGCAGTGAAGCATGAATACCCCACTCAGACACATTATACTGACTCCGAGCCGACCAGTCCTTGTTGTACCCATTAATGCCGAGCGCCAGGCAGGGACCAACAAGTACCATATTTGAACGTCTTTTGGTATGACGCGGTCGGGGATCGAACCCGCGACCTTCCGCCCTCCATAAAATAGGGAACATACACTACAGTTTCAGCTTCATCTATAATACCTAGGTTGGTTGGTTGGTTGGTTTGTTGATAAACGACACACTCAGCAGTATTCCAGCTATATCTCTATATGTAAATAATCCAGACTGGACCAAACAATCCAGTGATCAACAGCATGTGCACCGATCTGAGCAATGGGGATACGATGACGTGTGTCAACCAAGTCAGCGAGCTTGACCACCCGATCCTGTTAGTCGCCTCTTACGACAAGCATGGGTTACTAACGACCAATTCTAACCGGGATATTCACGGGTCTATAATACCGAGGCGTATTATATAGAATTCAGAGCAGGATGACATAAGAAATTATTTCCAAAGTTCCAACACAGGGCCATCCCCTGTCCATTAGACGCGCTGGTCAATTTAAAGCAAATTTGTTTCACCGAGCAGGTTAGCTGACTCGCACGCACACAATGTTGCTGTGTCCACGTTACACTTCTGTTCTTGACCTCGATATGAAAAGAAACGAATTCATATGACTACTTAATATTTAAGTAGATAATAATGTACATACTTAAAACGAGTACATTAACAGATAAACACACCACTTATTGAGACCTCCGCACGAAACTGTGCATCAGATAAATACATTCAACTAAATATGCATTAAAACTGTCCATGCGGAATTAATGTTACCAGCAGCAGGAAATAAACAACGCTGCAGGTGCTCTCTAGCTAGTTATAGCCTCTGTATACAGTTAGATCCGGGTACGATTATCTAACGTTTTAACCACTAGGCTACCCCACAGCCCCTACAAACATCTGAATGAGTGAGTGAGCGAGTTTAGCTTCACGCCACTTTTAGCAATATTCAAGCAATATCACGGCAGGGGACACCAGAAATGGATTTCACACATTGTACCCATGTGGGGAATCAAACCCGGGTCTTGGGCGTGACGAGCGCACACTTTAACCACTAGGTACCCCACCGCCCCTATAAACAGCTGAAGTCGACAGGGGATTATATACAAGGGGATTATATAATGCCTTACATGTAAGGCGGTGTGGGTATGTGATATAAGATAGCCCAGTGGTTAAAGCGTTCGCTCGTCACGCTGAAGACGCTGGGGTTCGATTCCCCACATAAACTAGCGTCCAAAAGAAACGCCACCAAATATGTTTCTGGTCTAAAACAAAACAAAACCGAATTATGGTAACATTAAATGTTTTATTGTAAGAGGCAATCATTCAGCAACAGTATTTAATGGGTAGCAAGAAGAAAAACGACGCAGCTCGTGATCTAATGGCACATGAATGACATTGGGTGCATTGCCCAGTATCACCAATGCAAAATTGACTGAGAGCTTTAACAACTTTCTGGGCAGCACATATTGTTCAATACCGGGTGTGGACACCTCTAGCAGTGATGCAGGCCCGAACCAGGTGTAGAACTGAGTAGGTGAGTCTTCTGACGTCTTGATAAGGGATCCGACGCCAGTCCACTTGCATAGCAACTGCCAAAGCGTTCCTCGTATTGGCGTTTCCTAATACGACGTCCCAGTTGGTCCCAAAGGTGTTCAACTTGGGACAGATCGGGCGACCTCGTCCGTCAGACTTGAAGAGCTGCAACCTGCTTTCGTCACTAAAGAGCACTCTTCACCAGTTTCGCTGCTGCCAGTGTGACACAGTCCTGGTCCATCTCAATCTGGCACGTCGTTGTTGGCTCGTCAACGTAATGTCCTTGAAAGGTCGATAGGCACCGAGACAATGATGGAGGAGTCGTCTGGCCACAGTCT